TCTCCTCCATTCCTCAGGCGTCTTCTCACTCTCTAAAATCCTGTTGAACAAACTAGATAGAAACTCCACTGCTGTCTCTCCTAGACACTTTCACACCTCTACAGGTATGTCATCTGGACCAACAGCCTTTCCACTCTTCATTCTCCTCAGAGCCTTCCTCACCTCATCCTTTCTAATCTTTGCTACTTCCTGCTCTACAATATTCACCTCTTCCCCCCTTCTTTCCCTCTCATTTTCCTCATTCATCAGTTCCTCAAAATACTCCTTCCATCTTCTCTGCACACTCTCCTCACTTGTTAGCACCTTTCCATCTCTGTCTTTAATCGCCCTTATCTGTTGCACATCCTTCCCATCTCTATCTCTCTGTCTCGCTAATCTGTACAAGTCCTTCTCACCTTCCCTCATGTCTAACCTGGCATACAACTCATCATATGCTTTCTGTTTGGCCATTGCCACCTCCCTCTTCACTCTACGCTGCAGTTTCTTGTAATCCTGTCTACTGTCTTCAATCCTTTCTACGCCCCACTTCTTTTTAGCTAGCCTCTTCCTCTGAATGCTGTCCTGTACGTCCTCCTTCCTACGTCCATGTTTCCTTATCTTCTTTCCTCCTTCCAGATGACACACCTAGCACCTTCCTACCTGTCTCCCTGATCACTTCTGCTGTAGTTTCCCAGTGATCTGGAAGTTCTTCCTGACCACCCAAAGCCTGTCTCAACCTCTGTCTGAATTCCTCACAGCATTCTTTCTTTTTCAACTTCCACCACTTGGTCTTCTTTTCTGTCTTTTCTCTCCTCTTCTTCCTGACCACCAGAGTCATCCTACACACCCCATCCGATGCTGTCTGGCTACACTTTCTCCTACCACCACTTTGCAGTCACTAATCTCTCTCAAATTCCCTCGTCTACATACAATGTAGTCTACCTGCGTACTCCTACCTCCACTCTTTGTCATGATCCTGCCTCGCTGGTTTCCGATGCTCCCTGCTTTTATTCTGAAAGCGCTTCCTGTCACCAGCTCATCCACAACCCCGGTAACTTCAGCTCATTATGCACATTGGTTTCACCTGCCACTAACCACCCACACCTGTTCACCACAGCATATAGCAGCTCCTCACACTGTGATGA